TTCAAATGGACTCTTGATAGCGTCATTACCCCGACCTGCTCACATTCTCCCTCTTCCCAGACACACTTGTTGTTCTCTCCTCTGTCAACAGCTCATCAGAAAGAGCCACCGCGGATTCATTATGTAAATCAAGCCCTCATTGTCAACTTCTGATGCAAGATCTCCACTCCGAGAATAATCATCATCCATCTAACCTCACATTAACACGGGAACGGCATAAAAAACATGCCTCGCGCCCAAATGGCTCAAATAAAAATGGCCTCTAATGTTGTTGCAGGAAGGCGGAGGTTGGCGGAGGCTGTGTATGCCTTTTCATAACAGCGCGATCTCGGTGACAAATGCCCAACAGCCGGAGGGGTGGGAGAGCGCAGATTTGTGAACTGTAACAGCGAAGGAAAAGGTTACAGTGTGACCAGGGCAGCCGAAGCCTCCAGCAAAGAAGCAGCGCCATGGCTTTTGTTAGTGTAACGCGACTTTCTCGAAAGGCTCTGTTGGGATTCACTGCTTTTGTACAAAACGTGGCTGACTTTGAGTCCTTAAAGGTTTTTAGAAAATAACTATAGCTATTGGATTTTCTTCTTTTCTTTTGTCCACACAACCTATGTTTACTGCTTTGTGCAAGTTGTAGTAGTTTGCTTTTTTGTGCTGTTTTAAGATTAAGATTAAGATTGAGAGATACTTTATTTGTCCCACTGTGGGGAAATGTGTTGCATCACCTCCAGCTACAGCTAAACTAACAATAACTCGATACTTAATAAAAAAAGAAAAATCAAACATCTCTAACTCTAGCATAATAAGTACAAAAAACGGTGACTTGGAGACTAGGAGAGAAGCCAGGGGAGAGACCCGGGAGAGACCAAGGGACAGGCCAAGGGAGAGACCAGGAGAGAGACCATATCATATCATATAAACTCAAAATGTACTGATATTTTATTTCATTTCATATCGATTTGGGTTTACTTTACTCTTTTTAGTTGTAGTCGGTTTTAGGTCTGTTTCCTTCTGATAATATTCTAATAAGTGATCGAGCGTGTCCTAATGTACTTTTATCCGACTAAGTGTGATCACACATTAGATGCTTAGTACATGATTTCCATCCAGGCATGAACAATCTCTTTCATTTAATCAAAGGAATCGGATCACACGGTTGGGGAGCGGGCAGATGCAGCCTGTTAACTCAGCCCCTCCATTATCTCAATTGAGTGGGATAGTTACCGTAAATGGCCGGTATTAACATGTCACTTCTTTGGCCTATGGTGCCAACTCTTATACGTTATAAAACACTGTCAATACTGGATGCTGAGCTGCGGCTTCCTGATGGCTCCATGGCTATTAGCTATTAGTGAAAATGAGACGCTTTTTTTGCCAAAGTGCCTTCTAGTGCCAGTCGGGGATTGTAAAGTGTCTTAATCAGCTTTGAAGGTAAACGAAGTGATCCCCAAACATTTCCGGTTCAATATATCCTATTTTCAGTGGGTTGAAAACATAAATCCGTACAAGTTGGTGAACTGTATAATGTCTACATGGTGCTGAGAGGTAAGCCGTCTGTCTGTGTTTGATCTGCAGCAGACAAAAGGGCCACTCCCTCATGGATATAGCTGTATACATCTGGCTGCAATAACATAAGTGTGCAGCAGCGCCTAATGAAATATTATTATGCTTTGTCCAGGGGGAGATCCTGTTTGTATCAGAACATGTAATTCATTTTATGTGTTTTCGCAGCATGTAGTGTAAGGATGTGACCAAAATTAATATCAAAGAATAGGCATGAGACAGAAGTGTAATATCGGTGTTATGAGTGTGAGCCTTTGCCTTTACTTTGGGGTTTTTAGATTTTTACGGATGTTCAATGCATTATGTTGATACTGAACATTACATCTTGATTGCATTTTGGATGTGATAAGATTATTGAAATACAATTCAGTTACAGCTAGTTTTACAAGTAAATAATGCAACAACGGCAGAGGAATGTGGTAAAAATAAAACTGAATTTTTTGTTTTAACGCACACGGTCCACATACACGCACATATTATACAACAGAAGCATGTACAAACATAAAATGATATATATTTAAATGCAATAAAATAGTTTTACAAAAGTGATGTCCAAGCTATTGTAAAACCCATTGTACTTTGCCTTTGAGTAATAAAAAGGACTGATTTGGATGAAGAATTATTGACATTCATATTTAATGTGTTTGCTTCTTGTGCTTGCTTTCCATTTTCTCACTCTTTATTGATCACATTTTCTTAAGACAATAGTTAAATCATTTATTATTCATACATTTATAATAAAGGCTCAAATAATGCGTATTCCCACCGATTGAGCCTGCATATACCTCCAGTTCACTGCCCATCCCAAATGTCTCTGAATGACGATCCTTTACATGGAGATAAGAGCAGAGGCCATGTGTGGCTGTGACTGTTGTTATTGCACCGGCTCACACATGCCATCAGGCTGTACGCTCCCTGTAGACCCCCCATTATCATAATATCCCTGGGCTTAGCACCCGTCCCAAAGGCCAATCGGGTCGCTCCGTCTGCGCGTCTGCAATAATGGAGAGTGCCAGCCCCAGCAGGCCGATAGTCTGCTTAGCGCTGCGGTCATTAGGAAGATGGTGAACAACTGTGATACGTCCAGTGCACATATATACTGTTGACGTGTGCCACTGCATTCATTTAGTGAGGCTTTAATGGGATTTCAGGAGATTGTGTTGTGGAGTTTACAGTAGGCGCATGCCACAGCGTGAATTATTAAGTAGATAGACACAGAATGGTGTTCAAAGCTCACAAACACATTCAGCTGAAGCAGAGTGTGAACTTGCACTTGCAAACCAAGCCGATGTATTTATATGTGAATAACACCCATGTATTTATGTTCAATGTTAGGGTTAGTCCACCAAAGCTGTTTCAACCCATGCAGTAATGTCTTTGTTAATGTCAATTGGAAGTTGTTAATACATAGAGTTAATAATAATAATACACGTTAATAATACCGCAATTATACTCTAACACCAATATACTCTAATGTTGTTATAATCCAGTCACTACTAGATCCATTTCACACAATGGGTAGAAAAGGTTCTGTAGGTTCTGGTCTGTATTATTTAACGTTGATACTTTATCGATTTAAGTTGTGCCTTATAATTCTTTTGCTATTGTTTATGATACGTCATGCTATTGTTTCACTGTTATTCTGGGCTTTCAGTGGGAGGGTGTGTTGCTTTTCAGTGAGCGCCTACCACAACATGAATCATTTAAGTTTCAAAGACAAAGAGTTGCATTCAAGTCCTCCAAACAAAACATTGGAGCAACTTGTCTGTGAACTTTTAGACTAACTGATAATTACACATAACTGGTTTATAAAACATAAGCTCCCACGTGCATTTGTTTTGACCAAAATGCACTTTCTCAAAAAGAAGCTGCATCCACACTAGCTGCTGCTGCCTGTGTTTTCTCTCTCAGACCATAATTTAATTTCCCAGTGATTGCTTTCAAACAAGGCAAGGTCATTTGCATTAAGGTTTTTTAGCTGCTTCTGGCTGATTTAAGAAGCAGACACAGAGGGAGAATGAGGAGAAATCACAACTGGGTTATGTTTAAATGAAGACAAGTGTTTTGCTTGGTACGGTGAAGTTTTGTAACCCTGAGGTGGGAGATGCTAAGTACACAACAAGTGGTTTTTAAATATTACAAGCAATATTTTTTGTTTTGTATTTTACTTCTACCTGTGGCAGAATTTGATGGATGTGATTTTCCTTCTTTAAAATATACGGCTTTTATTATGTTGTGGTTGTCACTAGACACAAGGACAACCTTTACTACTACGCTTTACTGAATGTTCATACGTGCTTACATTACTGAACCTGCCATGTAACTGCTATTGCTGCCACCACTTCTCTTACAACGTCTAAGGTAAATCCTGGATCTCTGTTCGCTTGATGGCAACAGAGTGAGGAATGAAGAAAAAGATTCTTGCAATCATTTCACCGTAGTGGTCGCTTGATCCAAGGTGAAAATGCTGTCCCTCGTGGGGTCAGCACATGTTTGGGTGCTTTCCCTCGTGAGCGTGCACAGTGCAGACAGGACTATTAAAAACCAAGGTGTGCATTTGACCGAGCTGCCTGTCACTGTGATTGGTTGGCTGTTTGGAATCGATGGAGCCTGGTGCCCTGAGCCGTTCTTCTAAATCCATACAGACAGTTGTTTAGTAACCCATCTTATCAGAGAAAACGCTCACACTTAAACTTATTTGCTTGTGTAATAAGGCTTAGAGCGGTATGTTATATTAATTCTAGAAACCAGACTATTTTATGCAAAGGAGTTGTACACAATAGAGTTCTTTTGTACATATTATTTCTTGCACAAAATACACTATTTTGCAAATGTATCCTTTTTGAGCTCAATAAAGTCTTTTTCTTGATTTTAGCAGCATCTTCAGACGTTTTAAATCTTTTTATGGGTTTCTAAATGAAGGGAGGGATTTCAGTTTCAGTCAGTGCCGCACAGGGAAATGTGTCCTCTACATTTGACCCATCCTGCAGTGCCGCCCGGGCCTCTGTCTGGAGCAGTGCTGGCCACAGTGCAGCGCCCAGGGACCCATCTCCATATGTTGATGCTCGGTTTGGTCAGGACCAGAGCTGGAGGATATTGTCTAATAAATACATGGAATGGACGAGGGCCCAAAAACAACCATTAATTAAAGTAAATAAATCACACATTTTTCATATTAATCAGAGCAGTCTGACAAACAGGTTGGCAGGTGTGATCCCAGATCGTGATCAAAGCTGTCATTGTGTCCTTGAGCAAAACATAGCAGCGTAATTTCTTGTAGATATAAATGTGAACTTGTGCCATTTTCTTTCCTTTTCGATTGTCTTAAGGTCTTAAAGTCTGTTCACATAAACTGTTTCCAGATCTATATGGCCCATCAGTCAGTTTGCAAGAAAGTGACATTTTGACGTGCGTGGATAATGGGCTTGGCTTTCACTCCTCACATCTCAGGAGCAGAAGCCCAACAGGACGTGGTGGGGGCTCGTTATTCCAAGGACGTGCTTTGACATTGCCAACTGACTACAGCTGGCCTGAGGGGCATCTGCAGTAGTGGTTTTAGTGGTTTTAGTGGCGTGGCGTGGCCTGGCGTGGGTTCCAGCTCCAGGCAGATGGCAGCAGGCTGAGATGAGCCATGCATGGTCAGTGATGTGGGATAGGGAGCATGCTCTGGCCCGCTCACACTGGTCGTATTTACTCAGAGAGGAGCGCTGATGCGGGCGTACAGAATGCTGAAGAGCTGATGGCATGTTAACGAGTCCTGCAGTCAGTCAGACGAGCCTTGTGCCAAGTTTGATTTAAACAGTTTGGACAAGTGGTTTCCAGTGCTGAAGTTTGAGTAGGATAAAATTTTCATTTGTGAATCTAACTATTTTGTTGAGTCATCGAATCATGTGTACAATAACTAATTCTGATGGACCATAAATTGCTTCAGAAAATGATTGCGACAAACGTATTACATTGAAACTACTTTATGCCACTGATGCAAGTATAATACAGAAAAAAATAATCCCAAACAAATGTGTTGATTTTTACAATTCGGTAGAAACCTGTCTCTGAGAAAATGAGCAGCAGAATTAGGTCATATGGGCGCGTTCACTCGACAGTAAAACTAGCTTTAACTTCGACTGGACCGATAAACATCCTTCATAAAGTCACAGATCTGTTTCAGAAGACATGAATTGGCTTACGCGACTATGGGAGCAGTGTGCATGTGTTTGGTTCACAAATCAAACATTATTCATCAAAGTGAACCGTAAATGCTCTAAGTAACGATAACCAGTCCAACTATTGATTTTTCCACATCTAAAATTGCATTGTTTAATAAAGGAAATAGCAAACATGGCTCCCCTTTTGCAAAACAATTGTAAAGACAATGAATAATGAGGCCCAAAAATATATAGTTTTCTCCATTATTATTATTATTGAAGTTGATTAAGTAATTATTGTGACAGAAAGACCAGATTGTGACCTGGCATTAGCCTGGCCCAGCCTCTTTTATTACTTCCTATTGTTGTTATATTTGATGGACATATCATAACAATAATCAATAAACCACAGCAGTCGTTGTCTTGAAGGGCGTCACAGAATTGTTTATTTGCCAACAGCTGTTTTTTTTTACTTTTCCTCTAATCTAAAACGTCAATATTATCTGTGACCTGGCGCTCTCCAACAGCCCACTGTGTACGGAATAGTTCATAATTTTCACACCACTCGCACATGCTAATGAAGGCTTTACACATTTCAACAGCCCAAATGCAGTTATCGACCTTCTCCAGTTGTGGTAGTGATATTTACTCGAGTCATTCATCACCGGAGCTGTCTACAAGTCTACACACTTCTCTGCATATTCACTTTGTCTTCGTTTCTCAATCGATGGCCGGGTCTCTCACCTCCGCTGCCCTGTACCTTCGTCACCTCCATCTCCGCTCTGCTCCAGCGAAATTACACCGTCATTACGCACCCAAACGCACGCTCCATGCTTCCAAACCCACTCGTCAATAAACTAATCGCAAAGCAAGTACTCGCCCAACACACGTCGATGCGCCGCGATCGCAAATGTCAGGGCTAATGAATGTAAATATATGCCATGTATGTCTTCTCTCCACTGTACATGCACACTCCTCAATGCTAAAGCTTTGTTTAATACGACTTTTTCACCCTGCTGCGAAAAGAAAAATTAAGGCCACTTTGGAGAACATTATTATTTGGCTTTCCTAATTTCCAGATTTCATTTTGCACATGGCTTGTTTACAGCGCATCACAGCTCATTAACAAGACAGACACAATTGAGAAGCTTATTATCCCAAAACAGAGAAAGACGAAATTACGAAAAACTAATGACAAACACAACATAAGACTGAGAGTTATAAGTGCTGCCAGTATTTAAGCACTTTGTCTGATTCGCTGAAAGCCCGATGGGTATAATGAGGAAAACGCAGCTATCAGTGTTTTTTCATCCAGTCATTTTCTTCTGCTTTATCCGTTACCAGGTCACAGAGGCAGTCATCTCAGTTTCAGAATTATAATGAAGTATGAGTAAATTAATTGAAAAAGGGTCTCCTCATAAGATCATCATCATTTTAATAATTTTGAGCCTTATTTTAATGGTTTTCTTTTCTCTTATCCACCTTTTTATCCTAATTCTTCACACATGTTTGTGTAATACTTTTTTCACCCTTTTACAGAAATTCCATTATGCTGCCACTAACGCAGTCACTGTTGGTCACTTGTTTTGTTTGTCGTTTTCCACTTCTGACCTGTGTATTTGCTCGGTGAACTTTTGAGTCACAAAGGATTTGGGAAAGTTGCTGCAATGTCAGAACTTAGTGGTCGTCACATTTATGGTGACAAAAAAACCGCAAACTCAAACCAATACAGTGTTTTTATGATTCTACACCAATATTGTTATTTTCAATGTTTAAAGTACGTAAGAAACACAGCGGCCATAGACTAAAACTATGTACTGTAAACAAACCAAAGAACAATATGTAATACATATTTAACTTTAAATAAAAAATCTATTTAGCAAAATATGTATCCTACAACATTGTTTCGTCATCAAACACAGACTTGGAGTTCTTTCATCTTCTGTTCTTCTGTGTGTGCTTTATATTTTTCATGTGTTTTAACCGTTGATTCTCTGACCTGTGTTGGTGATTTCAATGGTTTTGTTAAGTCCTCTGAGATGACTTCTGTTGTGACCCAGGGCTATACAAGAATAAATTGTATTGTATTGTATTGTATTTCTAGATCCATCCATCCACAAACTCCGCCCCTTCCTTTCCACAGTGGTAGCTTAGGGAATTACAGAAGGCTAGCTTTTCTTACAATAAGTTTTTGACTTAAGATATCATGTAAGATATCAGATGCTTTTGGACTATTACCACCTGCATTGATACAGGTCCATATTATAACAGCATGAAATATATTAAAATCAATTCTGTTATTTACAATTTCTGCAAACTGTATGCATTATGTTGACAAGCAGATGTACCTGTAAAAATGGAGTATCTTTGTGGATGTGACTGGTTGTAACCCTATACTCCAGTCTCATGTGTGGGACCCCCTCCCTCTGAGTGCTGCCATCCGATCGTCCTGCTCGCCCCCCTGAGTGCACGGGGCACTCGGCTCTCTCCATCAGCTCAGTGGGGGTTTGCGGTGCAGAGACAGTTCCAGTCTCATTGCTACTTTTTAATGCATGCTAATGGCTAATTAGGCATTTCATGACTTAAATCTGCGTGCCTTTTCTCATTACATGCTACCTGCTATTCCCAGTGTGCTGCTACATTATGCTGAAGACACGAGGAAGCAAAACAACAAGAATGCATGGATGGGTCTCAGCGCAATTCACTCAATTTGAACTGTGCTGCATGGTCCCAGTCGCTGGATTTAATGGTATGATTATAGCAACACCCCCATAGTAGTTTATTGGCCTGTTCGGAGTTTCCCTGACATGATAGGGGTTCTACAGATGCCAGCTTAAGTCCTCAGCCAGTCTCCGGGTCATTAAAATACTGTCTGTCAGCCGCCATCCAAATTAAACCTGGACGCATTGCATTTAAAGTGTAGAAGAAAATCGGGGAGGGGGATTTCCACTGTTGCTTAGCGATAAAGCAGTTATTAGAAAAAGCTGTGAAGATGTTAACTGGTCTATGTGATGAACGGCCCAGTTATCGGGGTAATTTGACACAAGGGGAGCCAGTGCAGCCGTTTGGAGATAACGGAATGGATGGGTGTGTGTGTGTGTGTAGGAGGTGACGCGCTCCTGTAATAATACGTTTTGTTGTTGGTCAGCATCCTAATGATATACTGCTGAAATTATAAAGTCAACCAGGAATGTTTTCAGCTGCATTTTTTTCCACATACATGTTTTCTTGTATCCTTTTGATTACAAGACATTGTTAGACCCATGCACCAGGTATTTCAGAAAGACAATAGGGCTCAAATAACTAACCACAACTAAAGATCTCACCATCTCAGGTCATTTATGACAATGTCGTTTCTCTCCAGATGAATTACGACAACGCAAAAACCATGATATTAAATTCATTACAGCTAATATCGTGTTAAACTAAAACAAAGAAAAAACATGTCATAGCTACAGTATATTGTTGTTCATAAGGCTGTAGTGATCCTATATGTTTTTTTCACAATTTTATTTGAATTGATTTGATTAGATTTAATGTATATTATTCTGCTCCTTTCTGAATTTACTTATTTTACTTTTTCAACCTATAGTGAACTCAGATCTATCATAGTTTTTGTATTGTCCACCGTTTCGCTAGCACATTGGAAAGTCTTTTGTTTATGAAATGTGCTATATAAAAAAGTGGTTTTGGATTTGCAATCTGTAATCACAATATAGCTTTAAACATAATGTGAATGTTCCAATATAACTATAACTGGAACATTATTTCTAAAGACTTCTATATAGTTTGACATATGTAATGGCTTAGCTTCACAAATGTATAAACAAAGCTGAATTGTGCATTATTCCCATGAACCTACACTTGTTCTGTTATTTCTGCGCGTTTTTAGACGTGTTTGAGAGATGAGCCAATGTTTGTCCACAGAGAGAATGCGAGGTAGTGATTTCAGGCCCTAATTGCAGGCGCTTCCTTGTTATTAAAGCGGAGCAGCCTGTGTTCTGCACCTGGTGGTGTTTACAGGTCTATTCATCGCCTGCAGACGCTCTGACAGGCCACCGTCGTCTTCAGCCACAAATAAAGCAACACGCTCAAAGGCTTCAGTTCATTTACCCAGCACGCGCCTCGTCTACCCTGGGCGCAACAAGAGACTGACAATGAGGAAAGGTGTGCGAGGGAGATTCATCACTTTCAGGGTTTAACTTTGCTGCTATTTAAGTAAAGAAAGAACAACAGAAGAAAATGGCACGTTACAGTTTGTAGCAACTTAAATCAACTGTATCGTTTTGGATTTTCAAGTTTTGTTTCTATTTGGATCTATATTTCAACAATATAACATTAATCTACCTTTAATAATTTTGTAATGTTGTGTTTTAATTCATATTTTTACATCCCAAAAGGTTCCATTCATGTGACATCACGACATTTCAAAGAGAATGTTGAGGTTGAGGACCGCTAAAAAAATCGTTTTAGCTCTAGATTTAGCTAATCTCTCTGCAATTCCTGGGATAATCCACATAAAACAAAAACTGCCACCAAGTTCCACATCACACATTAGTCAGTACATATGTCATTTTCATCCCCTTTATTTTTCTATTTCT